TGACATTCAGGTAAAATAGTAAACAAGCTAACAGTGCCCATGGCAGATTGGGGATGTGCAACACCATTTTTTTTGCCAACACTAGATATCAAACAAAAGCTGAGACTGTATCGTATTAAGTTGCTATGAGCTGTAAATTCACCAGTTTGAAGCAGAAGGTAGAAGATCACGTTATCTCAGAGCCTTACAATGCAAAGTGTCTCCTCCTCTGGGCAGCTGCATTGTGTCCACAGGTGCCTCAAGCAAAGAGTAGCATGAAAGTGAAGAGAGCTCACTCTGCAGCAAAACCTGGGGACTCAAATGACCCTAGAAGTAGCCTACACTGCACACTGACTGGCAAAAAAAAAGACTGATGGACTTGAAGCAATCTCAGTTGAATTAGGGGCCTCCAACTAATTTTTCAAATGTCCGATTTTGAGGGGGCAGCCCTACTACTCCTATGTTTTGGAACACCTAAAATGGACCTTTGAAAATGTGGTTGCCCCTGTTTCAGTTTTAAAGCACTGAGATGGCTTTTTAGTCTAGACAAGTAGAAGTAGAGCGTTTGGAAAAAAAAAAACGACAGACACCTATGTTTGCTTCCTAAATGGGCCTTACCAGTCACAACGTGTCAAGTAGAAACATTATAGCTAGTCCCACACACCTTTTTGTGACTACTCCTTTCCCATTGACATGGCTTCCTCCAGGGAGGGAAATACTCCCAGTACTGCACCAACATGTCACTGTATTGCTTTGAAACAACTCCCAATCTGTTTTCTGCTGCTTTTATTGTCCTTATACCTGTTTGTTACTAGCAGTAACAGTTCCACCTCGTGATCAGTCCAAGCAAAGAAATCTCTGTCTTACTTTTTGCTATTGCTGTTCTTCTTCTGTCGTATTTTCTGAAACTAAGCAATCAAGTTTCAGAGACGGCCTGCCTACTGTTTACACAAGCATGCACAGGCCCAATGTTCATATGGTCATGTGATGTGCGTTTTCGGGCCTTTAGGTACGGGCCGAGATTATTTCTGAAATTGTGCTGAAAGGCTTGTGTACGGAGATTGTTTTCATTTTAAAATGGCATTTTAAGATGAAAAAGAATGAGTGTGGATTAGATGATGCCTACAGAATAGATATGAAAGACAAATGCTCAGCACACCATGTAGCTGAGACAGAGCCTTCTCTGTAATAGAAACACTAGTAGTATTTGTGCTGTAAGATCATGGCAGTACTGCCATCTTCACCATCTTCTTACTATAACAATTACTTTGAACTTAGTGCTGTGATTTTAATGACTCTGTCAATCTCCTTCAGGTCACGAGTCCTCCGTCCCTCCTGTAAGAGACGGACCTTCTCCAGGAGTAAAGTTGCCAGGCATGGAGCCTTCCATCACAGAACCCCCTCAGCGGCAGCTAAAGACACAGAGACGCAGAGTACCTCCTCCTTCAAAGGTAAGCTTTTCTGATATCATAGCTTTCTATCAGACAAGCGTAACAACTTCAATGCAAAAATAACAAGAGCAGTATTACTTGCAAGACAAGGTAGAAACTGAATGTTGTCAGTGATGTATCTGCTTTCACTTGCTTGTCAAGACAAGCCAGGTAGCCGACTGGCTATGCGGTAGTGAAAGACTGGATAAAGTAGTTTAGTCAGGCTGTAAACTCCACTCCCACGACTTTACCTCTCATAATCAGAGATAATATCTTGTCAACAGCCACAGAGGGTGCAAATTAGTCTGCTGTCCCTTTCCAGTATAACCATCTTATTCATGTGTTTGCGGTGCAGTTCACAGGACTGTTTTGACTTAACACATCTTTTAGCCGTTCTACCACATTCATTTTTGACTGAAAATAACTTTCCATGCATTTTCCAACTTGTCATTCATATTGAAAAATGTTGCTGTACAAAAACAACTTTTAAATCATCAGATTGGTTAAATATGTTGGCCATGTTCTACCAAATCACCTCTTTCTCTTTTCAGATCCCCTCGTCAGCAGTGGAGATGCCGGGCTCAGCAGATATACCTGGCCTGAATGTCCAGTTCGGAGCTCTTGACTTTGGGTCTGAGGCTGGCAGTGGAACGGTGGACATGGCACAGACAGAGTCGGCCAGGGAGCAGTCCCCGGCCCAGGGCCCAGCTCCAACAGCTCCAGTACCCGCCATGCCTGTCCCTACTGCCGTTTCCACACAGCAGCCACAGAACAGCCTGTTCTCCAAGCCAGGATCTGTGAGGTGTGTGTGAGGCAGAGGCTTGTATTTGAAGAATTTATCATTTAAGATTTTGTACGTGTGTATTTGTGGATATGTCCAGTATAAAACCTCGAGTCATGCAGAAGGCATAGTTTATGATTGATATAAAAGGGTTAAGAGAATGATGTTTCAGCTTGGTTACAGCTAGAAACTGTTTGCATGTTGAAAACAAAACCAGTAATAATCCTGCTTCTACTTCTGTCACATTCTCTGTATCCGTATTGTAAATTTACCTGTCTCTCTTCCTTTATCTCTGCTCCATGAACAGTGAACACATGAGCAGCTTACCCACCTTACCCTCAGCCGTATCGGATCCCAGCTTCCCCTCACCATCCCTGGGCTTGCCCAGTGCCACACCCTCTCCCTCCATGGGTCTTCCCAGCGCAGCCGCCCCGCCCTCTTCTACAGCCCAGACTGCAGCCAGTCGTGTGGAGAGCAGTGGTCCAAGGTCCCTGCCACCTCATCTGGGCTTCTCTCAGAGCAAAGATGTGCCCTCAGCTGCTGCTCTCACAGTAAGGATAAACCTCTCTTTCTATGTACAGTACAGGCCAAAAGTTTGGACACACCTTCTCGTTCAATGCGTTTTCTTTATTTTCATGACTATTTACATTGTAGATTCTCACTGAAGGCATCAAAACTATGAATGAACACATGTGGAGTTATGTACTTAACAAAAAAAGGTGAAATAACTGAAAACATGTTTTATATTCTAGTTTCTTCAAAATAGCCACCCTTTGCTCTGATTACTGCTTTGCACACTCTTGGCATTCTCTCCATGAGCTTCAAGAGGTAGTCACCTGAAATGGTTTTCCAACAGTCTTGAAGGAGTTCCCATAGGTGTTTAGCACTTGTTGGCCCCTTTGCCTTCACTCTGCGGTCCAGCTCACCCCAAACCATCTGGATTGGGTTCAGGTCCGGTGACTGTGGAGGCCAGGTCATCTGCCGCAGCACTCCATCACTCTCCTTCTTGGTCAAATAGCCCTTACACAGCCTGGAGGTGTGTTTGGGGTCATTGTCCTGTTGAAAAATAAATGATCGTCCAACTAAACGCAAACCAGATGGGATGGCATGTCGCTGCAGGATGCTGTGGTAGCCATGCTGGTTCAGTGTGCCTTCAATTTTGAATAAATCCCCAACAGTGTCACCAGCAAAACACCCCCACACCATCACACCTCCTCCTCCATGCTTCACAGTGGGAACCAGGCATGTGGAATCCATCCGTTCACCTTTTCTGCGGCTCACAAAGACACGGCGGTTGGAACCAAAGATCTCAAATTTGGACTCATCAGACCAAAGCACAGATTTCCACTGGTCTAATGTCCATTCCTTGTGTTTCTTGGCCCAAACAAATCTCTTCTGCTTGTTGCCTCTCCTTAGCAGTGGTTTCCTAGCAGCTATTTGACCATGAAGGCCTGATTGGCGCAGTCTCCTCTTAACAGTTGTTCTAGAGATGGGTCTGCTGCTAGAACTCTGTGTGGCATTCATCTGGTCTCTGATCTGAGCTGCTGTTAACTTGCCATTTCTGAGGCTGGTGACTCGGATGAACTTATCCTCAGAAGCAGAGGTGACTCTTGGTCTTCCTTTCCTGGGTCGGTCCTCATGTGTGCCAGTTTGGTTGTAGCGCTTGATGGTTTTTGCGACTCCACTTGGGGACACATTTAAAGTTTTTGCAATTTTCCGGACTGACTGACCTTCATTTCTTAAAGTAATGATGGCCACTCGTTTTTCTTTAGTTAGCTGATTGGTTCTTGCCATAATATGAATTTTAACAGTTGTCCAATAGGGCTGTTGGCTGTGTATTAACCTGACTTCTGCACAACACAACTGATGGTCCCAACCCCATTGATAAAGCAAGAAATTCCACTAATTAACCCTGATAAGGCACACCTGTGAAGTGGAAACCATTTCAGGTGACTACCTCTTGAAGCTCATGGAGAGAATGCCAAGAGTGTGCAAAGCAGTAATCAGAGCAAAGGGTGGCTATTTTGAAGAAACTAGAATATAAAACATGTTTTCAGTTATTTCACCTTTTTTTGTTAAGTACATAACTCCACATGTGTTCATTCATAGTTTTGATGCCTTCAGTGAGAATCTACAATGTAAGTAGTCATGAAAATAAAGAAAACGCATTGAATGAGAAGGTGTGTCCAAACTTTTGGCCTGTACTGTATGTATAAGGGAGCTTAATGACAAGTGGATGGAGACCACTGCTGACACTTTCTTGAAACCTCAATGTCTGCTGAATGATAAAACTAACCCTTTGGTAATTTCCTCTTCCTGTAGAATGGCTATAGTGGCATGAAGACGCAGAGCACACAGGACAGTAAGTACACTCAGGCCTTTTCAGTTCTAGGGAACTACTTGGAGTGGCCTGTCAGATTCAATATAATGAATATTGATTGCTAAATGCATCCGATGGGAAGTGAAAATAGTCCTTTCAGTGAAAGTGGATGAGGTTTGATAAAGACTAGGAAATACTCAGCCCCTCTTTTCCGTTCGAATTTGTTTTATTCGGTTTAATTCTTTTATTCTCCCTCTTACAACCAGTCTCTCTTGTTCTTGTTTTAAACCAGCTACATCTTCATCGTCTAGAACAGTGAAAACTGAGTCTCCTGTTATGACGAGTGAAAGTGGCCACCACATCCCCTCCCCTGCAGTTACACCCTCCCACTCAACATCCATCCCCTCGCTCAGCAGGTAAGGGATAGTTCAGACACACCGTCACATTTTATATTGCTTATTGATTAATCTTTTGTGTGTCCTCTTTTTTTTGTTGGGAGATAATGATGGTTACAAGCACATATCTTAATCCTTCATGTGGAATTACCTTTTACTGAATCTCCGTCCTCCTGCACATGTTTTCTGGGTAAAGTATTGATGTTGCTTTATCAGACTAAAGCATGCTGATTGAATCATTTTACTTTCTTCCCAGTCATGTGACCAGCACTCACACATCTGGATCGGCCCTCGCCACAAGCTCCTCCCTTACTGTAAGTGTGTGTTCCTGCTTGCACACAGACACACAATTACTTTAATGTCACTCTACAGTTGAGGTAATTAAAGGACATCAGTTATTGTGCAGTTTGGTTATTTGAGTGCAGGACTTTTTACTGCTTAACTCTGAGTCTAAGTACAAAGCGATTTTTATTCATGAAGATTTTACCCATGCCTTGATCTATAAAAACAGTCGCTAATTCTCTGCTCACACACCCTGTCTGCTCTTGTCCTGTTACACCAGGTAAGTAACGAGGAGGGCAGTAGTAGCGGCAACCTCCATGCCTTCTCGTCATCATCGTCCAGCCAAGCTGTCAATTCCAGTCCGTCAGCTCCCCCGGCTGTCAGCAGCTCAACCACAAATGGTCTACATCCATCTGGAGCACCGGGACTGACACCTAATGGCACAAACCCCGCACTGTCAGCTGCAGGCAGCCGCACGGCACCCCTGCTCACCACCACCTCTGGTAGGCTCATGGCTTTACACAGGGATCACAACACCATAACACAGGAACTAATTTACAAAAGGTTGTTTGAAATGAAAAAATGTATCACCTTTAAATGTAATTCCTTTTGTTATCAAGCTGTTTTTACACTCAACTAAGACTGAATGTATTCAAACACATTTATTTGAATATGTACAAATATAAATCACAAGATCCATTATCTATTTAATGTCCAAAACTTGATATTTAAGTCAAGTCAAAAATCCTTGTTTGTCTTCTTTGCTCAGGTAAAGCTCCTCCCAACTTAGCCCAAGGAGTGCCACCTCTGCTGGCCAACCAGTACATCATGGGCCCAGGTGGCTTGCTCCCTGCGTACCCGGTAACTAATTATTCCTAAGTGTTTTTTTTTTTTTTTTTTTTTCCAATGAGAAAAAGATGGGGTGTATCACAAAGAATAAGCCCTTTATACACAGAGATTGCGCTAAAGAGCTGCTGCGAAGTCCCCTCTCTTTGTCACCCTTGCATACTTGCACAGAACCAAACAACATCAGCATCATGCCGCTCCAGTGTGTGATTTCAGACAGCATGCTAGCATCGCAGACAGGCATGACATGTAACCCAACAGTGTCGCCCTCTAGTGTACATATAATGTAGCATCAGCAGCATTCTATAAACATAACAAAGGCATAACATGGCAACAATAACCATTTACTGCCCCAGTTATATGGTTGTTGATCTCCTCCTCGGCTTTGAGGGGAAGATGCTTCTGGACCTCATTGGTTTCCCAATTTGCAGATATTTTCAGCTGTTGTTTTTCTTCAAGTTAGCTGCTAACGGCTGTCAGCTGCTTTGTAAATCACCCAGCAGTGGGTCTCACACACACAGCATGTCATCGACACTTCACACCTCCCTCGTCCGTGGTCCCGTCCTGCCAGCTGTCCCTTTTACACAGATGTAGTTTAGATGCTGTTACTTCCTCCTCTGCTGGTTTAAGGGCGAAACAACTCTGTTCCCCCATCCCACGATTGCACCTTTATACAGAGGGGTGAGACCGCCTAAAGGTGTGAAACTCCCACCTTGTAGAGATAGTATAAAAGGGGCTATAGACAGCATCGTATGGTATTAACCTACACAGAACAGTTTAGCATCTTCATTCCGTCAACAATATATTTGTTAGGTTTTATGCTCCCCTAAATAAAAGAGCCTTGTATTTACCACAAGTGGACACTGAATTTACTGAGTTTACTCCTTATTCTCCAGAGCTTTACTCTGTTGATGACTGTTTTAGTAGGTTCAGATGAAACATGACATCCGTGTTAAGCACTGAAACACTGGCTAAAGCTTAGTAGATGCCAAAATGGGTAGAGGATGAAACTAAAATGGAGTTTGCAGGCAACAGTGAGGTTTGGTTGAGACTCCAATGTATAACATTTCACTAAATCTTCCTTCTAACATCTTCATTTCAACAGCAGATCTATGGATACGAGGACCTGCAAATGCTGCAGTCTCGCCTCCCTATGGTGAGTCTGTTTCTTCTGCCCTGTGCCCTGCTGCTTATCACTTTGGTTCTTGTGTTTTTGTAAATCAGCAGTGTGCTTACAAATGTGCTTTTCAATGAATTGGCAATCCAGGCATTCCAAAAATATATAAATGAGAAAGGAAATATTTAAAAGCAACATGTTTGAACCACTGTAGGTTTTCCCCGTTTACATATTCTCGGAGTGGCTGGATTACCTTCCTGTGCAGCCAGTAATCTTTTTCTTAGTTCCCTTTATTCCTGCTAACTTCAGTAAAAAAATCTGTGTCCTTTCTTCTGTTGCATGGCAATTTAACCAGATTTCCAAAGTAGTAAAATATGTGTTGATGGGAATAGCAACAAAATGGGGATGGCTTTTTGTGGTATTAATATTTTTTTCTCTTCCTACACAGGACTATTATGGTGTAACATTCCCCGGTACTACGGCTACTATGCCTGGACGAGATAATCTGGCCAATAATCTATATTCTGGTAAATAAAACTTCATGTTGTTTTGGAGTTTCTGAGCTGATATGTCTACTGACCTTCTGTTATGTTTCAAGATAGGTTGTTAACTCACACTGAAACTGAACAATTGAAACAGTCTCTCAGTGCATTTTATTTATGGCAGTCATTTTTGCACTTCAGTATGTTGAGTTAAGCATAATTGATTACATTGACATGGCAATTTTAAGCCATCAGCAGGTGTGACAAAGTGCTTTGCTTTTCTCAATTATGTGGCTTCTTTACTAATTCATGTTAGCTGACCAATAGATGGGCAAAGACATTTTAGAATAAGTTTTTAAACTTCAGTTTTGTCTTCCCTACTCTCAATTTCTGTCCAGGTGAGGCAACAAAGTTTGGCAGAAATGATTCATCATCTCCAGCTCCCCCAACCAGCCTGTCTACAGCCGGGGTTCAGTCACAGTCCCAGCAGGCTCCACAGGCAGGAACACAGGGCCAGGGGCAGGGTCAGGGCCAGGGTCAGCAAACACAGAACCAAGCCTTCCTCAATCCCCCTCTGCCCCCTGGCTACGGATACACTGGTAAGAGAAGTAAAATTATAAGTCATAATGAAGATGTTGAACAATCTTATTTCTACTCAACTCAGCCATGCGCTTTGTATTTACTCCTAATGTAAAATTCCAGCTTTAGCTACCACCTTCCCTCTGTTTTTTTTTAGCGTCTTATTTAAATATTTATGAGAAGTCTGTTAAATTGTTGGCAAATGTGCGATAGTCAGGAACTGCTTGATTCATTTTTGATTTCCAAGGGCTGTTGTCAACGGCTGTAGACCAAAATGCCCTCAGATGCAGTTGGATGGACCTGCAATCAATCAGAGCAACGAAATGTGACAAAGCGCTCAGCAATGGAAAAATGTAAACAGCCTATAGCGTGCCAAGATGAGCTCTGATAGTGCAGCGTCAATATATCTGATCGAGTGTTGCAGTTTTTGCCATGAGAACGTGAAAATAGTACTTTAAGAGAAAGTTCCACATCAGCTGCAGCCATCTTGGTTGTTTTCGAAAATGCCTTAACAGCACGCCACTTTACTAAGTTGGGTTTATGCTTGCTGTAGAGTATCCGGTGTGAAGGTGTATGTCACCACCACTCATTTTTTGTTAAGTGCAAAGGCTCCATAAATTGTCAGTCATCATCTGAAACACGCCCCATCTTGGATAAAAGGTTGTGATTGGCCCAACCTGGACCAGGCCAGTCAGAAACCTGCCTGTACAGGAGGAGGACCAGATGCATCTGCCAGACCAAATTAAACATGAGCTCGCAGATACGTCTGGTTCCCAGGCAACAAGGCTTAACAATTATTTTCAAATTAAAAGTGAAAAGTGATTTTTCACACAACTGTTAATGTAGACACAAAGTCAATTTGTATTTGTGTAGATGCTCTTAATGTAACACTGCCTACTACTCTATAATAGAACCCTTTTTGTCATTGTTGCTTATAGACCGTTACATAGGGATTGGCTTTCATTGCACATGGAATATATCTCTGAATTGTCGTTTTCAGGTCTGCCGTACTACGCTGGTGTGCCGGGGGTTCCCTCAGCCTTCCAGTACGGCCCCACCGTCTTTGTGCCTCCTGCTTCGGCCAAGCAACCTGCAATGGGCCTGGCCAACCCCTCCAATCAGTATCACCAACAGCATCAGCCCAGTTACGGACAGCATGCATATGGCACAGGTAAGACCAGGACAAAATAAGAAGGCTCTGACTGATGTTTTCAGGCAATTAACACTGAACATTTTTAGTCACATGTTCAGTAATGAAGTAATAATAAAGTTTTCTTGTGAAGATTACATCCAGTAGTATTAATTTGGCATTTAATATGACAGCACAGGTTTCTTTTAAATTATTGCTGCCATAATATCACAGTATCACAAACTCTCACAGCAGCTTGTCATGAAAAGTAGTTGAGTGTCATTTGATCAGCTTCAGCAGTTTGGCTAGTTATTGTCTGAATCATCAAAAGTGAACAAGCTACACTCTTTTAGAAGTTGAGAAATTTGGCAGGATTTACTATTTATAGTCCATGGTGGCAACATTTTTTGACATATTTGACATTAACATGTATTGTGAGAAAGACGGGGTGTGTGTACTGGGACCTTGGCATTAATCAGGTGTGCGGAGTGTAGAGAGGCCATTCCATTTCCAACCCTTTATACATGTACACCAAATGCTGCATGCGTGTGTGGAATCGGGCCTGTGTGTGTTTTTTGCTTGTGCTGCATGCATAGCTCAAACCCCCTTGCTGAAGTTGGGCGCGGCTCAATATAGACTCAGCTGCCATTTTAGTCAGGTTACCTTACTGCCTCTCTCTCCCCCTGCCCCCCCTCTCTTTTCTCTTCCCATCCTCTTTCCTCCTCCTCTTCTTCTC